TAAGAGAAATCTTGAGTATGATTTAAATAGGGTGATCAAGTGTACCTCTGAGAAAATGACTCTTGAACAAAGAAACAGAGGAGGTGAGAGTGTGAATCACAGATCTGCTAGAAGAATCCCAGGTGGGTACATAGTTCAATTTTCCAAGACCAATAAGCCTGTCATCTACAGCAACACCTCTCCAGGTTTAGGTAACCCTCAAGGGGGATTATGCTCACCACGTTCAGACAATAATCTGCAAGGAGTTCAGTGTCCCTGCACCAGAGGGATGCCGAGAAATTATTTTTACTAATTTGCTGCCACTCACCAAATAAGGTCAGAAATATGATGAGTCAGCTGGTGAGGACAGGTTGTTTCTATAATCTTGGTATCCATCCTGAGCAGAATGTCAGACTTCCTTCTGGAAGTTCTTTACCAACAAAGAAAGCCTATTTGTGGCATGATTTTAAAAAGTGAAGTTGAGCAGTCCCAAAAGCACTGAGTCACATTGGTGTGATTTTGAGCAAGTTTTTCGAACTCTCTGTGCATCAGTGTTTTATCTATAAAGTGGCAGACAGTCCTTCATGCAAATCCAAAGAGGTTTATAATCAATGTAGGTAAAGTGCCAAATACAGTGCCCAGCATGCATTTAGGAGCTCGTTGAATGGCAGTGATTGTGGAGATGACACAGAACTGTTTCCGTGGTTCATCACTAACCTGCCTGTGGAGGGTGAGCTTTGGATCTCAGAAGCCACCTCATCCATATTATCTAACTCAGTGGAATAAACTAAGAAGATATTGATGTCTGTCACTGTCTGCTGATTTGACTGTAAATCAAATGAGGTTCATAATATGTCTTGGGAGCTTTCATATGCTTTGAGTTATTTTCAAACATAAATGTTGTGCAGTCTTGTATTAAATCCAAATGGTGACTTGGAAATTAGTGGTATTTTCCTGAAGTATAGAACCAACTGTTACTGACTTGACTGAGGGTACTTGTAACTCACAACTACAAGGCAAAGCACTCTGATTGCAGGTGTCTGTGGCAAAGACTGTAATGTGTGATTAACACTAATATTACATTAAATCTTATCTTAGTGATGAGTGATGGGTGTGCACTGAGAGTGAGATATTCTTCCTGTGATCCAAGTTCAAGATTCCTTACTTTCTGCTCAGAATTTTGCCTGACCCATTGTTTCTTCTGATTTGCCACCTTGCCCATCACCAACCTTCTTGAATACAGTGACCAGGAGGTTCCTCTAAAGCAAGACACAAATCACATCAGTGCTTGGTTTCAAAATCCCCATTTGTACCTCTTCGCAACATAAAATGTTGCCGAGGCATCTCCTGGAAGAGGAAAACTATCTCTAATTTAATCCTATTTTGGTACCTAAATTGCAATTCCAACTACTCTAATGTGCTTTTCAAAATGTTCCAAACTGTTCCTTGGAGTAATGGCTACTTTTAGGATGGGGGCAGAAAATATACTCAAGATAAGCCTGAAACATCTTCTATGGTCAGAGAGAAAGGAACTGCTATAAAAACAAATAGGGAGGACAACAGGGGGAAACATAAACCTACAGAAAGAGCAGAGAGTAGCCAAAGCTGGAACATTTTGAGCAACAAAATCAATAACATGATATTGCATTATAACACAAAATATGAAATGAACATTCATGAGCCCATACTAATATAAATGACTAAGTCCAAAAATAAGAAAAAAGAGACAAATCTGCCATGCAGATGAGCTCACGGTAATTTTAGTAGATACTGCATTGTGGAAGAGAAACACTTCAGTCTTCACTGCTGAAATCTGAACTGTGTCCACTGACTCCTTGCAAACAGGGCAGGATGGAAAAGGGCGGGTTTGAAGAAAGGAAGAGTAATTTTGCTGTGGAAGAATCTAAGGAGCTACCACAACTGACCCATCAACAGGGATAAGGCATGTTGAGAGTATTTACTTGTGATCTCATGTGATGAGAATGACTGATTTTCTATAGAAATACACATCTTCAGTCAAATAGTGAGAAAAACATCACATTATTGTCAACTAAAAAGTCACTCTAAAAGAAAAAAAAAGAGAGAGAGAGGAGAGAGTCACTCTACAAAATACCTCACCAAAGCTATACAAAACTGTCAAGGTCATCAAAAATGGAAAGAATTTTATAGAAAATATCTCAGCCAAGATTGCTTGAGGGAATAAAATAAGTAAGTGCAATGTGGTTTTAGGAGGTGGTGTGGGAGCAGTTTTGAAGAGGTGTGAACCTCTCTTTCTAACTCATATTGGAATAAGTTTACAGTGTTATCAGTTGAAGTTGCCTCATGATAATAATAATGATGATTAATAATGGCTCATTAATTATAGTGAATGGATCATACTACTATAACACTGCAGCATGTGTTCGATCCCCAGTCAGGGGACTTCTGGCACAGCAGACTTCTGACCTGCCAGCTGCTCCCCTCAGTAGTGTATTCTGACCTGCCTATTCTGTTCCTCATTCTGTCTCTGTTTAGTCTTTTCACCCACACACCTCTCGCCTGTATACCAGTTCATGTATGCGTAAATAAACAAATCTTTAAAAAAAATGCCCTAACCTTTCACGTTAGTGAAACATTTCCCCTTCACTTTTCAACTTATTACTTAAGATACTTTCCTAATTCTATGAAATCCAATGGATCTTTTCTAACATTTATGTCTACAGAACTTGTTACTGATATTATGCTATTAATTGTCACTGTTTTACTTATTTCTTCATTCATTTAACCAACATCACTTGTTGCTAACAGGGCTAATTAATATTCCAATTCTGAATAAGCCTATAGTTGCCTGGAGTCACAGATTTGATCCAGTTGTACATGTAAAAAAATGTGTGAGGTATAAAGAGAATGAACATTGGTGGTAGTAAGGGGACATTGCCTAAGGAAATGATAATCGCATTGATATCAAAAGAGAGCTGTGGGACTTCCCTGGTGGGCAGCCGGTTAAAGCACAGCACTGAGAAGCTAAAGCCACTTCAGCATGAGTTCGATCCCAGCCCTGCCCTAGAGGTGATCCACATGGCGCGGCAGACCTCTCCTGACCCACCCACTGCTCCCCTCAGCAATGTACTTCATCAGTCAGCCTGTTCGGCTTCTCGCTCTGTCTCTGGTGAAGCCTCTCACTGCCCCTGCACCTCTGACCTGTACCCAGTTCTGCATGCATAAATAAGTAAATCTTAAAAAAGAGAGAGAGAGAGAGCGCTAACTGAGTGAATGCTTTTCTGTTGGAAAAGTGATAGAGGGGAGGTAAGAGAGAGTATGTAGGAAAAATTGCATTTGGAAGGTTCTGGGCCAAGAGGAGGGTGGCTTCACCAACATAGAAATCAGTGTCACTAGATACTCAGATAAGCAGCATATGTGCATTCTATCTGGCTCCGTGCTAACCCCTGTCCACTCATCATGTCTGTACTCACCCAACCCCATGAAAAGGGGTGATGGATCTCATTTTACAAACTGAGTGTACTTACTCACTCAGAGTGTAAATGACAACACTGAGTTTCCAACTAAAGCAGACTAGTTTGAAGACCCAAACTGCTCTCACTGAGGGAGACAGAGTTAGACAACCTTAAGTGAATGATTCTTCTCAGCATTTTTTTTATATTAAAGCAGGGTTTTTCATTCTGACCACTGCAGACATTAGGAGGCAGCTATTTCTTTGTTGTGGAGCTGTCCTGTATATTATGAGATCCCTAACCTCCTCCTCCTAGAGGCCAGTAACACCCTGCCCTCTACTGGTTACTAGATCAGAATTCCTCTAGGCCTTGTTTAGACCTCTAAATACCATTAGAGGGAAAGCAAAGAGAAGAATCACCTCACCTCCCACCCTGGCCTTAAGAACCCTCCTATTCTCAGAAGGACAGAGCTGTGCCTTTTTTCCCTGCTCCCACTTTCTCTCCTTCCTCCCTCACTTACCTCCATGTGTTCCAAAGTGCCCATTATATATGTGTTGTTAACCTCTCTCTTACAATTTATGACAATATTTGGTGTACAGTGGACCTTCAACAAATACTTGCTTAATTTTTGCCAACTGAATCCTAAATCCCAAGAACCCTAAATGTTATGGACCAATTCCTGTCAATATTATTCTTGAATTCAAAATTTGATTTGGGGAAAGTTAATTTGTTAGTTTCTGGCCATTTGGAATACCTTGTGCCCCTAGGGAAATAGCTTAGTTGATATTCTGTGGTACAAAAGATCTACCTGAATGCTTCCCAACCTTTAGACTGTCCCAAGAGCATAAATGTTAAGAACCTGGTGGAAACTGACATTGCATGAGGTTGCCAATAAATATTGCTGAAGCATGACTGACCTGTACCAATTAAGTGAAGCAATATGCATAGGTCTGTGATTTGAGATGCCATTTACAGCACATATCCTTTTCCTCCAGTGCATCTTTCTATCACTTCTGATGAGCTGTAGCTTGGGAAATGACTCCCCCACTAGATTTTCTCTTCAGCCTCCTTGAGAGTAGACAGCCAAGAAGAGAAAAGAGCTAATTTCTGGACAGATTCTTTGCCACTACAAGTTCTATATCTAGCATGTCAGTTGCTTGTCATTAAAGGGAACTCAGAGAATTCTAAATGCAAAGATAACACAAATGAGAGTTCCCAAAATATAATGCATAAATCAGGCAAAGTCCTATTTTATGTTAACTCCAGGCATTCTGTGTTCCTTTGTCTCTCATTACATACAGCCTGGAATTGTTACCTCATGAGGGCTATTCATTGGTGTCCTTTATTGCATTTGATGTACAATGCTGTAATGTCAAGATTATGCATATATTTTTATTATTTTGCATACATACTTGCATTTGTGAGTGTATGTTATGTATGAGGAGAGAATCTCTTGATGATTATACTTCATGAAACTATTTCTATCATTTTCTCACTTTCCTTGACCCCTCCACATGTTCTGCCATAGACCTGAGTGACCATTGACTCATTACTAACCAGTGTCCCTTTCCATTCTTTTTTTGCCAGAAGGAGGGACATGTGAAGTCATAGCAGCTCACAGATGTTGTAATAAGAATCGCATTGAGGAGCGGTCACAAACAGTCAAGTGTTCCTGTCTCCCTGGAAAAGTGGCTGGAACGACAAGAAATCGACCTTCCTGTGTGGATGGTAAGTAACTGGTTTTACACCTTTCTTGGTGTTGGTCTGTGTTTTCACCATGCATAATATTGATCTGTTTTATCATATCCTGATCTTTATAAGGATCAGGGTAATGAATAAGGTGCATTCAAAATGCAAGGTGACTAAAATGTCAATGGTGCTGTTTGAAAATTGTGTGCTGATTGTCTACGTACCCAGATCACAGTTCAGACCAACATGGGTGGCTCTTCAATGCAGGGAAGCAGACAGCTAGACTACATGAGTTGCTCCACAGGCTCATAGGAGGAAATCCTTGGCTCTAGAAGCAAAGAAGCATTATAAAACCATCATGGTTTCTCATGTTCTCTGCCAAAGAAACCATTGGGTCTGCAACTATAAATTCCATTTTTTGGTTGTTGTTGTTTTCTGTTTGCCTTTTTCTCTAATGATGTAGAAATAGAATTGCCTTCAGGAGTTGGATGCAAGAACCAAAGAGCAATGCATTGTTTCTGCTGGCAGAGAGGCAAATGGTATCTGCTTCCTAAGTTTCTGTGAAAAGTGTAAGCCTCATTGTGATCATTTTTGTCTCTCAGAACAAGTTTGTTTGACTTGGAGACTCTAGAGTCTACTGTGTTAAGTTCAGAGAGGAAGACTGTTAGTGTCTGTATCTAAACAATAGTCAGTGCTATTTATAGACTCAAGCTGATTGTTTATAGGTTCCATAGCATTCCACTCACTCAAAATCCATGAATCCTAAGTCTGTCATTGATATGAAAAAGTGTTTATGGTGTAGATATTGGTATGCAGATTAAATTACAAAAAAGTTAATAATTCCAGAATAGAATAGGAGCTGTGAAATTAGCCTGATAGGAATAGAATCTCAACTCTGCCAGTTACTAATCAGCTAAGTCATATTTGCTTACTATCCTGTTTCCTGCTCTGTAGAATGGCGACCATCATTGTTTCCATTTTATAAGATTGTGGTGAAGATTAAGTAAGTCCTGTGTTCCATATGCGTTGTATAGTACCTGGTTCCTCTCAAGTCCTCACTACATGATGGCACCTATTTATTTTTTTAAATCTTTAAAATTTATTTATGTATACATATTTTACATCATTGTTTATTTTGTAGAGGATTTGTTTCCTCCTCTCATTGCAGTCCCTGTAAAATTTCCACCACCAATTCACCTTGCACCATTATAGTAGTCCCTTGTGTGTATCTACTTCTTATCTTACTAATAATGAGATTTTTTCCTTTACTTGGAACTGCCTCTATCTAATTGCCTTGGATGTCGTTAATGTGCAGAAGTCCTCTTCAGGAATGAATGCTCCCTGAACAGAAGCAATCATATGTTAAAATTATCCATGATATACTTGTGCAGAGTTACCATTGATTTCTAAGATAGTATCTTAGTATATGTCCTCCCAGTCTTAAGCCATCATGAAGGAGAAACTCATATAGTAGGTATTTTATTGAACTAAAATGTTACAATGCTATTTATTCAAAGCTTGTTTTGTTTACTATGTAATGAACATTTTCAGACTTAATATATATTCTTCAGAAACACTATCTACAATAGCAGTGTGGGACTTCAAGATGGACCACTATTGATCTGGCTATCCCCTCTACCTGGCAAATTTCCCATGTTTATGGGCTTCCCTTTCTGAGCCTAAGAATGGGTAGAAACCACTGTTTTCCCATGATACTGGTTAATAGTCCATTCACCACATATGGTAAATGTATTATATACATACCAAATTTCCCATGGTAAGTGTTCCAATTGCTGTTCTTTTCTTTCCTCTGAAATTGCAAGTCACTGGCTTTCTAGAGTAATTTTGAAAGTAGAGAAACAATGATGATTTTTAAAATAAGTATATATTGATTTTTATTCAAAATCTAAAACCAGGTTGTTTAAAATAGGACATAAACATTGCAGTACAATCATAACTTATTCAGATGTTTAACATAGATTGGGAGAAGTGTTTAAGTAGTGTATACTCTATTTAAAAATGATTCTGTACTACCTAATAACTGAAAAAAATATACACTCAACAGCTTAAATTACAGAGTAGTCATTTATAAGTATTTTTAAAATCAGTACACCCTTGATCTTATCCAAGCAATAGAAGAAGCATAAGTCATTACACTCTGACTCACACCCTGTCATGTTTTATTATTATGCTATGACCCCCACTGGGTGGGGGAAGTTGTTCCTTGCTTAATATATTTGATTGAGACCAACTAAAAGTGTAATGTATAGTTTTTACATATCTCTCATTACTTCCCAGGTATTAAGTTTAAAATCAAATAAAAACTCATAAGATGTTGACTCAAAACATAATTTACTTAAAGGAAGAATTTTTCCATCAGCATGGTTAAAAAAAGCAAATAATAAGGAGGTTTGTGAGATTATGTGATTATTCTAACTGATCTATAATGGCATAAAATTTGATCTGTCTTAAAGTTTTAAAAATAATGAGATGATTAATAACAATAAAACTAATGATGACCATCTGTTGAAGGCTTAACATGTTCTACTGTCCCAACTATTTCAGGTCTATGCATTCATTAATTGTAACCCTAACCCCATAAGGTTTTGTTATTTCTTTTATACTCATGAGGAAACTGGAGCACAAAGATGTGGCAACTTGCTAAAAATTATGCATACAGAGTGTCAGAGTCAGATGGTCTGCTAGGATATCTGGCATTGTGACTCTCCACTTATCAAGTGCAGGCAGACCAGGATCTAACATTTACAGTAGTTACATTCCAAAGGCTTTTGTGCAAAATGACAACATATCTCAGTGATGAAGTCAAGGAAATCCAACCATATGTAGGTAGTCGAACCAGCACAGAATGCCCAGTACTTTGGTCAATATCTGCCCCTTCCCTTTCTATGCCATAGAAGAGATTGATTGACCTTCTTAAGATCCTTGCCATAGAGTAACTAGAAGCATATTTGTGTATATATATTTTTTTTCAGTTTTATAAACCATATGAAGCTTTCCAGGGCATGGGGGTGGTAAAGTGAATATTTTCAGAGCAAATTTGTGTTCCCTATTTAGGTTTTAATTATTATATTAGCTATGTCTGTTATAATTTGGACAAATATGTGAAAAAAATAAATTATTTCAATGACTGGTGAATGAGGAGGTCCTTTAACTTTGTGGATTTTAGCATCAAAGCAAGAAAAATCTCCATGATAAATTCATGAGTTTTTCCTTTTCACTCAATATGCATTACAACAGCTTCAATGATTATGATTGCTAATAAACCTTATTTGGTGCTGTTTTCTTAGAATGATTGCTAGCTCAAGGGACCAACAGGAAGTGACTTCCTAACTTTGACAGTTCTAGCAACTCCATTTTTTTTAAAGTATATAGTTCACAAATGAAGTCCATCATACTTCTAGATGGCTACTTCTAGACAGAAACAATCCTAATTATACTAGAATATGTTTATGGTAAATTGCAATTGTATATATATATATTTTTTTTTTCAATTTGCATTATGAGATTCCAGAGTCAAAATCTCTACCAAAAAAAATTATTTCTGGAGATTGTACCTTGTACCTTCAGAAAATACATGGCAAAAATTACTTGACTACAAATCAATATATTCTTTAGAAACAATCCTAGTAAAGAAAAGTCTGAGAATTAAAGGGAATTTGAAATTCAGCAATAGTTTTCTATAAAAGAGTATGGCATATATATATATAT